AAGTGTTCAGCCACCTCTCAAACACTGATGAGAGTTTGAGAGAAAGTCTGTAGCTCACTGAGAGGGTCAGGTGAGAACCATGGTGATAATAAGGATTTTAGTGCCCTCCAAGACACTACCAGCTCGTGCCACTCAACAGCAGGGCTGATGATTTGCAGTGATTCCTTCAAGGAGGGCATCTCTACACCACCACCAGGCAGGTTTGGGGGCCTTTGGACCCATCCTGGAACACCAGCATTAGCCCATTTGGCCAAGACTTCTGCTAAGCTCCTTCTCCCTCCCAGTTTGGCACTGGAAAGCAAACAAACAGCTCTGGGAGCTGCAGAATTTGCAGAGTCTGGCTTTCAGCAGGCTGGCATCTCCTGGGGGACCGACCTGGGTGCCTGAGAGGGCACAAAGTGACTGAAGCTTTTCCCACGGTTTGGGCACTGATCAAATGTCAGCTCCATGCGGATTCTCTGCTGTCTAATAAGGTCTGACAGCATGTGTTGGTTTTTCTCACAGTTGCAGCCCTGGCAAGGTCATTCTTTGCCCAGCTGTTTGTAATGGCAGGAACTGAGCTCTAACTAGTGTCGGGTTTTGATAAAACTGGCCAAAGGGTTAAAAAAAAATTTTAAAGAGAAGAATTTGGAATGAGTGGGCTGATATACAGTGTGATTGCATAAGCTCTGGTACATTAGAAAATCAAAGTAATTGATCTTCTTCCTTCTAAATGTGATAGAATTTGGAGCTGGGCTGTTCCTGGTAGTGCAAAATCCTCTTTTAAACTTTGCTCTATGACCTGCGGAGAGCAACACTCCAGAATGTCAAGCTGTTGCTTTATCTTCAAGCCTGAGTACAGGAGATACAATCTTTGCACTTCAGGCCCCTGTGGAAAAAACATGACCCCAACCAGAATGACTCTTAAGTCAGCATGTGAGCAGCCACGGGGAGCCAGAGTGATAGGCAGGTTTTAGCACACCTGATAACTAAGGTAGAGATCAGGATGGGACATGTGGCTCTGACACTCCCCAGGAAGCTTTGAGGCTTTAATAAAGTAAGTAAAGGCTATAAAGGGTACCTATAAAGGTATTTCTCTAAAGGGAATAACTTAGCTGTGGTGGGACTGCACAGCTCAAACCAGTTGTTCTGCAAAGACAGCTCCACGACTGTGGTGCACAGGGAGGATTTACAACCCCGAGCAGGGCTGGTTCTCCAGAGCAGCTCTGCTTCCTGCACCCACACATGCCAGCAGCCCCTGTGCACACACAAGAGCATCACCTCTCTGTGTCCTCATGTGCCCTCAGCAGACAGGAGATGCATATTCAGGGACAGGATGAACACGATGTTTGCAATCTCACTGTGGGCTGACAGCACAGAGTTGCTTCTCCTTGACCTCCCACTTGGACCACAGTAGCTCCCTCAGAGCCCAGTCCCAGGTACATCTCCTTTGGTTACACCAGTCCAAACACGCTCTGCTGCTTGGAAAGCTTCAAAAAGCCCAGATAGTTGATGGGAGAAAGAGGTTTTTCTAAAGCAAAGCATCTCTGCAGCCTTGATCCATCCAGCTTCATCACCTGCTGGACTCTTAAGGAGCACAGAAGCTGGAAACACCCTGGGAGGGATCAGCCCATTCTGCTGCTGCAGCCAGGCTGATATTGCAGAACACTCTGGAGATGGGATTGAGCAACTGTTGACAGGATTTCTCCATCAAATAGTGCTTTTCAGATCTGTTGGGAGCCTTGGTGTATCTCAGTCCTGACACAGGCTGACTCCTTTCAGATATTCATCAAAAGAGGCTTCCTGCTTCTGAGCATCCTGCCTGGAATTACTGGACTTCTTCTCTTTGAAGAGAAAAACAAGCTCAGCAGGTGTTTGCCTTGTGCTGTACTCACAGCTCCCTGCTGCCTGTGGCAGACTTCACCTCTGCTCACCCAGCACCTTCTTAGAATCATGGAATCAGAACGCAACAGAATTGCTTGGAAAGTCCTCTAAGATCACTGAGTCAAACCCTTACCCCAGGACAGCCAAGACTACCACTAAACCATGTCCCCATGTGCCACATCTACATATCTTTTAAATCTCTTCAGGGATGGTGACTCCACTGCCCTGGGCAGCCTGTCCCAATGCTAGACAACCCTTTCTGTGAAGAAATTTTCCCTAATATCCAACCTAAACCTCCCTTGTGCAACTTGAGGTTATTTCCTCTGGTCCTGCCACTTGTCACCTGGGAGAAGACATCAAACCCCACCTGGGTCCAGTCTCCTTTCAGAACCTGGCAGAGAGTGAGAAAGTCTTCCCTGAGCCTCCTTTTCTCCAGGCGGAGCCCCCCAGTTCCCTCAACTGCTCCTCATCAGATTTGTGCTTCAGCCCCTTCCCCTTCTCTGGACACACTCCAGCACCTCAGTGGCATTCGTTTCATCAGGAGCTCAAAACTGAACGCAGGATATGAGTTGTGGCCCCAGCAATGCCCAGCACAGGGGGTCAGTCACTGTCCTGGTCCTGCTGGCCAGGTCTGAGACCACCCAGCAACGCCATCAGAAAAGTAGGGAACGGAGAGCCCATAGAGTTCCTGCTGTCAATACCGACGATCTCCGTTCGGATGCGCCTGTCGGGTACCCGAGGAACGCGGCCGCAGCTCCCGGGATGATGCGCGGCCGCCCCGCGCTCCTGAGCCGGAGCTGCTCCGCTCCGCGGTGGGTCCGCCCCCGACTCCCCGGGACCGGCGGGAGCGAGAACCCCCGAAGCGCCGGGGACCCCCGAACCGCAGGGGATCCCCGAACCGCAGGGGATCCCCGAACCGCCCGGTCCCCCCGAGACCCCCCCGGGGCCGCCGCCGGCCGCGCTCCCGGCGGAGTCGGGCGGCACCTGCGGGCAGGTCCCGCTACTGCAGCGGCGGGCGCGGGGCTGGGACCGGCGGGACCGGTCCCGTGGGGAGCGGGTGCGGTAACGATGTGGCGGAGGAGAAGGGGAAGGGGGCTCCGGGCAGCCCTCCGCCCCCACTCGACTGCCACCTTCCAGCTCAGACACAGCTCGACCCAGGCTGCCGCTCTCCCCGCCGGTGCCTCCGGGCGCGGCGGGATGCTGCCCGTTCTTTCCGGGAGCTCCTGCTCCCACCTCAGGGTGGAGCGGGGGGAAAAGCAGCTTTCCAGACCCGGAGAAGTGTTCTCCCTATTGATCGGATGATTTCCAGCTGCTAGAAAAGACGAGAGGCCAAGCTGCCGCACCCTGAGCGCCCAGTGCTGGCTGTTCACTGACAGCGGGTGGTTTGGGAGCACCAAGCATTTGTTCTCAATCCATACTTTTTTCTTTTCTTTTCTATTCTTTTTTTTTTTTTTTTTTAAGAAAAATATGTTTTCTTTTCATCATCTGAAGGAACAGACTAGGTGGAGAATCATAAGGAATCACAAGCCCTAATCATAAAATCCTGGAACCCTAGAATGGTTTGGGTTGGAAGGCACCTCTTCTCTTTCCAACTCATCTCTTTCCAGCTCATCTCTTTCCAACCCCCTGCCATGGGACACCTTCCACTAGATCAGGTTGCTCCAAGCCCTGACCAGCCTGGCCTTGAGCACTTCCAGGAATGGGGCAAATGTCCATGAGGATTTCTAAAAATCCCAAGCACACACTACAAAGCAGTTCCTGAAGGCGTGGGAGCCTTTATGGGCATTCGTGAGCTTCCAGTTAAATGAATCGCTAAAGAAAATCAGGAGAGCTGGTGGCCCGGTCACACAGCAGGAGGGGGCAGCCTGGCAGTCACAACTGCACACTGGAGCTGCTCTGAAGCTTTCGAGAAGTTGCAATCAGAGGAAGGACCCTGCTTTGTCCACAGAGGTCCCTGGGCAGGCCCCCACTGGGTGAAAGCTGTGTAGATCCCGCTGCAGTGAGCTGGCTGGGTGAAAAGAGGAAAATCTGGAGAACTGGACTGGGCAGGTTGAAAATGTGGGAGGTCTGTCCAACCCTGCTGTGCAGAGGTAGCAGGGCTCAGCTCAGAGACACTGATTGCATGGGTGAGGGCTGGGGCGGTGTTTTCAGCACAGCAGTCACACTTGGGGCCTATTTTAAACACATTCCCCACGTTGCAGAGTGCACGTCTCGAGGATTGAAATAGACGGTGGTTTGATCATTGCCTCTCCCAGGGAAATGGTTTTTAATGAAGTTCTAAATAATAAAGTGGGATAATTTCCCTGGCTGGCAAGATCATGAAATTTTTATGCCTCCTTTCTCTCCCAAAGTTGTATCACCCTTTATTTTTAGTGATGTTTAATCACTCCTTTTGAGGAAAAAAAACCACAACAACTGAGAAACCACTGATATAGGGAAAGCTGCTCCTGGGCAGGGACCCTTAGGTGGGAAGCAGTTTGGGGGCAGCTCCACAGGCAGCCCTTGCCCACATCCCAAGGATGGGCGAGCACCCCACAGGGGCAGAGGGGACCCCCAGTGCTGGTGCAGGGTGACAGTATTGGCTGCATGATGTTGGTGCCTGGTGCTGGTGCTGGGTGTCAATATTCGGTACTGGGTGCTGATGCAGGGGGCCAGTATTGAGTGCATGATGCTGGTGCCTGTTGCTGGTGCCGGGTGTGATCACTGGGGGCTGTTACTGGGTGCCAGTACTGGGTGCATGGTGCTGGTGTGGGTACTAGAACCAGGTATATCATTCTGGTCCTGTGCTCCACTATTTGACACTGGGTGCTGGTGCAGGGTGCGACTACTGGGTACACGGCGCTGGTACTGGGTACCAGTTTACACGATGGGTGACAGCAGTGGGTGCCTGAGGCTGGTGCTGGGTGCCCATGCGGGCACCGTGGCTGTGCGCGGTGTGGGTGTGGGATCGTGTGTGTGTGTCTCCCTCTCTCTCTCCCCCTCTCTCTCGTGTGTGTGCGTGTGCTGTGTGTGCCGTGAGGAAGTGCCAGGGCTGCAATCGCTTTCGGAAGTGGCCGGCGGGGCCGGGCCGGAGCCTGCGCAGTGCCGGCGCCGCCGCCGCTCCGCTCCCGCTGCCGCTCCCTCTCCCTCCGGTGCCCAGCCCGGCGGCAGCGCAGCGGCGGCGCCCGGGGGCGGCGGCGGCGGCGGCGGCGCGGATGCCCGGCCCGTGAGTACCCCGCGCCCCGGACCGGGGATGCCGCGGATGGGGCGGGGAGAGGAGGGGGGCACACAGACGCACACACACACATACACTCACACACACACACACACGCGTGCCCATCGCCCCTTGCCTCGCCCGGTGCCCAGCCCAGCCTCGCTCCCCCGGCGGACCCCGCTCTGCCCACCCCCTCCTTCTCTGCGCGCTCCCGGGCATCCTCCTTCCTCCTGCACGGCTTCCCCCACCCCACCCCCCCAACACGCACCGAGCCCCGCGGAGGATGGAGAGCCCTGCCTCTGTGTGTGTGTGTATGTGTCTGTCTGTCTGTCCGTGCGTCCGTGTGTCCGGCTGCTGCCTGTCACCGGCCCCGTGTGCGAGCGCTGGGGCGGGGGGATGCTCCGTGGGGACCGGCCGGCGAGGCGGGGGGGACCCCGAGCTCCGAGCAGGGAGCGGGCACTCCCCGCCGCATCCCCCCGGGGGAGGGCAGGGCTCCTGCCAGGAGAAGGAGGAGGAGGATGGAGAGGGGGAAGGAGGGGGGCACTCTCCAGCCGCAGGGCCGGCTGCACCGGGGTTTGCCCAGCCCGGGGCGGAGGTTGCAGGGAGGATCTCCCCCGGAGGCCTCCCCGGCTCTCCTGCACCCACAGGTGGGTGCCAGGGCGGCGCCGGAGCATCCACGCAGGGATGGCCAGGCAGGTTCGCTGCCCATGCAGCTCACTGTTCGCCCATGCAGAGGGTGCTGAGCCTCCTCAGGGCAATGGGGAGCCCTGACCTGGCCGTCCAGGGCTCGGGGAGCACCGGGGCTGGGAGAGGTTGGCTGAGGTCAGGGCAGGCGTGAGCTCAGGTCCCCGCCGTGTCCTCCAGCAGTGGCATGGCCAAGAGTTGGCCAGAGGGACCTGCCTCGGTGGTGCCTGGGACACGGCTGTCCCCCACTGGGACGTGACATGCAACCATCACCCAACACGAGCCCATCACGTGGGCAGCGTCGCGGGATGCCACGGCTTGGCGCCGTGTTCCCGCAGCCGAGGGATGGAGAGGTCCAGGCGCGGCCACCGGAGCTGCTCCGCCTGTGGATCGCTGTGCGTGCGTCCCTGGGCACGGAGAGGTTCCCTCGGGAAGCTCCCTCTCCCCGCCACTTCCATGAGGCTGCTCTGGCACGGATCCATGGCCTTATTTAAGAAACTAAACAAAAAGTGTGAAGCGAGTGGGAGGGATTCCCCTGCTTCGAGGGGAGTTCATTCCCCTCTGCATGCATCTCCATCCCTGTCAATAGACACACTCATCCCGTGTCACGCTGGATGAGCGAAGCCGTGGCACTTGCTGGCCTGTTGGATATGGTTTTCTTTGGGAAAACGGGTCGCCCCAGTGGGCACATATTTCAGAGTATCTCCCAAGGGAGAGCGCCACATCAGATTTCCCTACAAGGATTTTAGCTGCTCCGCATCAGCCCTTCCCCACAAATGACTCAAGCCACTAATCAAAATACAGTCGTGTTCTTCAGCAATTAAACAAACTCCACCTCGCAGGATTATAGTGGAGAAGCAGGAGTTTAGTGACAGGAATACAACTCAATCAGGGTGCAGGCCCGGCTTGATATTGTTATTAAAAAAAAGAAGGAACCGAAGGCAAATAATCGGATAATTCGACTCAAACCCAGAAAGGGTAAGGGAGAAAAATACCTTGGTGGGGTAGTTAGTGCTGAGTCTGCCCAAGGTGCTGGAGCAGCACATCCCAGCCGCCTCTGGAAGTGCATCATCTCCCATCTTTGCTGAGCTTTGGTTCTAGACTCACTTTTATGATTGGTCTTGGGCTCCAGCATCAAGTTTCAGCTGGGCTGGTATGAAGGGGGTGCTCAGGGCTCTTCCTTGTGAGCAACAGGTCCACACTGGCAAAGAAGCAACTGTGTCATTCCTCAACCTCTGTGGAGTGTGAGCTTGAGCTGGTGTGGCTTTTCCTCCTTTTTTTCCACATTTTTATCCTCTGGGTAAAATATAATTTTGGAAAGTCAGCTGAAGGGGAGGTAAGAGCCACGCTTGGTGCTGGTGTCACTCCTGAGCCATCCTACAGTCTACCCTACCTTTCCCCTCCTGCTCCTCCTGCTCCTTGGATCAGTTCCTGCACCACCTCCCTGGCCATGCCTGAGCACCCCAAAAAAAAGCAGAGTGGCCAGGGCAGAGCAAGGCCAGCAGGCATCACTGCTGGCATGCCACATGCTCTCAGGGTTTGGCATGCTGGGCTCTGGTGTGGAATAACAGCAGATTCCAGGTGATCCAGTGCCCATGGCCTTCGCCGAGACATCCTATTGCTAAGTTCCTTATTCATCTGCACATCTCTCTGCATTTCCTTTACAGAAGCTGTTCAGAGAGGGGGAGATATGAAGACAGGTTTTTATATACACTATTTCATAGCTACCTCCTATTCTGGGGAGAGGAAAAGATCTTGGACCTTATCAGTTGTTATTTGCATCGCCCAATGTGTTACAACACGGGTTTTGCCTGTAGGGAGTACAGGATAGGTGAAGAACACCTGACATTTTCTGTGGTGTGAGAAGGGAAAGAACTGAACTTGCAGGGACTCCAAGCACCCTGTCACAGACTGGGAAGCAGCTCTGAGGTGCCATCACTGCCCCTGCTCTGGCAGCTCAGGGAACAGGCATCCAGCCCCACAGGCATCTCCCTATTCACACCATTCCGGTCCAGCGCCACACAAGCCTCCTTCAGCTCATTCCTATCAGTGTTGGGCTCAGCCAGCCCATCTCCTTCCCCAGCTGCTTCTCCATGGCTTGCCCCATGTAGCACAGGGGTGGTGACCTGCAGAAAGCCCCGAATCCTCACTTGCCATCCAAAAGTGTGATGGTAACTCCAATAACCCCACCGGCTGGCTCTCCCCTCTACACCCACAGGTTTGAGGACATCCATAACTTTTCACTGGGATAGAACATCTTAAATCCAGCTGTGCATGCTCTGTAGGAGGCATTGGCTGTGCTGGTCCACGAGGCATGGGGTGAGTTCCCTGTGGCACTGCCCACTCTGCTCGGGAGCTGCTGGGACCTGGGGACAGAGGAACTGGTGGCTTTGGGGTAAAACTATAGTGAAGGCAGAATCCTGGCTCTGTCTGGATCCTGACTGCTGTGTAAAACAAGGCAGCAACCCTGGAGTTCTGATCGACCTTTCACCCTTCTGCGAAAGCACTCCCTGGGAGCGTGGAGAATTATGTTATTTCTGTTATTTTTGGCAGGAAATCCACTGGGTTCCTTCTTCAAAGGGGACCACTAACAAAACCCCTGCCTGTGATTTTTCCCCCTCCCCAGTCACTGTGGTGGGCATGGAGGGTGATGCCCCAGCCCACCCCATCGGCTCCTCCGGGTCTGTGTGACCTCAGCCATCCCAGATTAGTGTACCAGGAGAGACCGGGGAGCAACTCTGCCACTCACCCATCCTGCAAAAGCTCCTGCCCTTGGCCATTTCGTGGAAGCAGAGATTTAACCAGGGGGAGGGTGGAGCAGCAATGAAAACAACAACAAAGACCTTTGGGGTTCAGCTTTACCATTCATCTTAGACATGGAAAAAAGGGGGTTTCCTGACAGCAGGAAAATGTATGGTTGAGTTTTAGAACAAGCCACCCTTCCAGTTCTCTAACCACTTGGAAACAGCCTCGGTTGACCTTTTCAGGGCTCTTAACTCCAGCTGTGGAGACCTGCTGGGTTTGGGGGCCCAGGTTTGCCACACTCCAGACTCGCTTGTCAGCACTTGCCTACTCTGAAGGCAGAAACACTGTGGAGGCTCAGGCAACAACAGGGTGGGCACAGGGGATCTACACAGCCCCCAGCATCCCTGTGGATGGCCATGGCTCTGGGTGCAGGGGACAGGCTGTGGGTGCATTGGCAGCTTGCTCCCAAAGCTGGAGGTACTACTGGTTCTGTCTAGAGGGGTCAGCAAAGGAGTTTGGGGTGAGGGCTTGGGTTTTCCAGTTCCCCCCAGCTCCTGCAGGCTTGAACCCAACCAGGGCTGCAGTTTCCTCTGGCAGAAGGTGAATGCCCAAGTAGCATTTCAGGGCAAAGGGCAGGAGGAGAGCAAACAGGTACATATTGGCATTAGCAGGCAGGAGTCCTGGAAAAGGAAAGGAAAGCTTCACGCTAGCCTGGAAAAAAACAAGGAAAGATCCTGCCTGAGCACCTGGTGTGGGTTTCCCCACAGGGAGAGAGCTGACAAAGGGGATTTGGGGCCAGGGAAATGTATTGCTGTGATAGCAGTGCATGTTCTCTGACAGTACTCGAACCCTGTAGCATCCCCGGGGCTCGGGGAAGGGCATCTCTCACTGGCATCCCCTGCAAGGCCCATTCCTTCCATCTGAGCCCAGAATGCCTGCAATGGGCATCCACCATGGCCAGACTCCTGCACCCCAGCCGTTTTCTGCAGCTCTGTCTGGCAGCAGTGGGATGCAGCAGCTGCACTGCCTGGCACTGCCCCAGGGCCAGGGGCCACCTCTGTGACATGAGGCCACACAGGGTGACAGTGCTTCCTTCCTCCCCGCTCTGCCAGCTCCTCCCCAGGGTGACAGAGCTGAGCCCTGCCATCATTCTTCCCCTTTGGTTGGGGTTTAAAGAACCAGGGCAGCCGGTCTCAGAGGACACAAATTGCTGACAGTGCTCCCTGTTCCTTCTCACAGCCGGGGCAGGGCAGAGCCTCACTGCTGTCCTGGCACTGTGATCACAGCACAGGGGTCACTTGTGACCCTTGGGATGCTCCAGAACTTGAGACAGGGCATCAGGTCACCAGATGCCCATTACCCTGGGTATTTACCTGCAGGATGGTCTCCTAGGAGGCTCATCCTGCAGTCCCCACTGTTTTAACATAGGATCAAAGTCTGATGCGGGAGGAAGTTTTCTGGTGCAAGTGAAAGCTCAACTCTGCAAGCTCTGGTCCGGGGACCCGTGGTGGCACTGGGGCTGGGCCTAGGCACTCACCAGAGAGGAGTGACACCTGCCTGAAGGCAGACCTCAGAAGGCAGCA